TTGTAATTATAAATTGAACTTGGGCCCAGTGACAGATCTAGAAAATTTATTCAGAGGGGCCCGATTTTAAATATTAAATAACGATCTTGTAATTTAAGTCGAAACACTCTTTCATATAAATATATATTTACTATAAATATAATTATAGATACGTGTACCGTCAAGTTTTTAAAAACTTAGAATCCGTATCACCTCAAACATTAGAAAAGTAAACAAAAAAAATGAGATTTCATGTATATATAATTTAAGTTTAAATTATGAAAAAAAAAAATTTTTTTTGCCGAAAAATTGATTCAAAATTAAACTTTTGCACCACATTGCAGAGCATTTTTGTTGAAGAGAGCTTATCAAATGGACTTTTTGTAAGAAAAAAAAAATAAATTTAAAAATATGCGATTACATAAAAAAAGAGTCAAAAGTCAACATTAAAAAATATAACAATTCAACTAAATACTCAATTTTATAAATTACTAAATCGATTTACAATTAAAAGAACGAAAAGAGTAAATCATTATAAATATTTTCAAAAGCTTATCGGGGAATTTCAATTATAAGAATTTTTAGTACGTTTTTCAGTAAATGAATAGTAATATTAATTTAAATAAAAATAGCATAAAAAATAAGTTTTAATTATTAATGCATTGTAAATATTTTTTACATTTTTATACATATTTTATAGTATTTTCTTTAGATATATTGATTTTTAATAAAGTTTAAGAGAAATGCTACAAGTACATAATACTGTACATAGAGTTGTACATAACAGTCACATAAGTAGGTCCTACTAAAAATAAAAAAATTAAATGGACCACACTTCATATGAGTATTATNACGATAGATATTTTATATAAGGGCACAAATGTGCAAAACAACAACCACCAGCTGACAACATGCAGCCACCAGCTGAACAACATGAGAGGACAGGCCAAAGCCCGCCTAGAACCGACCCTAACAGGGGAATAACCACTCAACACTAAGACACAAAACTAAAAACGGCCCCAACGGGGTAATGCTCGAATGTGTGGTCCCAAAAGGATAATATGTTCACACTCGAGCAGACTGAGGCCAACGGCCCAAACCTAAAACACAACAATGTACACCTTTATTTACATTTATTATGTACTTGTAGCATTTTTTTTAATTATTAATATTTTGTAAAAAAATTTGCATTTCTATACATTTTATATTATTTTTATTTTCTTTGCTTGGGCCGACACACTGGGAAGGGTCCAGTAGTCCTAAATCCTAAAAGAAATACATCCCTAGTACTATAAATTGGGCAATCACGTGTTTCTCTGTTGCTGACTCAAGTTTTGTTGATCGACACAGAGAGAGCGGCGATTCGTTCTTCTTCGTGAGTCCGAGACATGGAATCCCTCTTAAACAGCTATCTATTTGCCAAACGCAAAACCAAATCGAGATCCAAATCCTCCCTCTTAAACAGCTGCACTCTATCTGCCAAATCCAAAACCAAATTTAAATCCAAATCGAAATCAAAATATTCAGACAGTAGCAATGCTCTCTCCAACGCCAAATCCAAAACCAAATTCAAATCCAAATCGAAATCAAAATATTCAGACAGTAGCAAAGCTCTCTCCAACGCCAAATCCAAAACCAAATCCAAATCGAAATCCAAATATTCAGAGAGTAGCAAAGCTCTCTCCAACGCCGAATCGAGATTGATGAAATCCGCTAACGCTCAACCCAAGTGCATGTTCCTGGTGTCGCACTCACACAACTTAACCGTCGATTACTTTGTAATCTCAACCGAAGGCAACTCTTTCAGACAATTACACGACGACGATGATGATCTTCCTCGCAACTTATTGTCTCTACTCAGATTTGATAACTGCAGTATCCGTCCTACCTATGCCGTTCTTGATTGTTGCGGCTCATTGATTTGGTTGATATTTCACCCAAAGGTTTCCACGCCACAGCATCTTGTGTGGGACATGGAGACAGATTCGTGTAGATACCGTTTTCCATGCCTTTGCCCAGGAAATGATGACCGCCTGAACATATGGACTTCTGGCATGGGGTTTGATCCTTCATCCGGGCACTGTAAGCTGCTCATAGTTTGGGCAGACGACTACTTCAGACAAGTATGTGCTGAGGTGTTGAACCTCGGAACTGGTTCGTGTAAGGCCGTTCATTATCCTTATGCCTCTATCTTGAACCCCGATAGAAGGGACTTCAATACATACCCCTCTACGCCCATTAATGGCTTCCACTATCAGATAACTACTGGGTTTCGGGATGGTTCTTCTGCTATTGTGCCGTTTGACTTTGCTAAAGACAGGTTTCGTGCTCTTATCCCTCTGCCCATGGGGGAAGAAGAATTGGACATCGACGATGTTGTTCTAGTGGAGTTTCAGGGGTCTCTGGCGGCTATTTGTTGGGATTCGGAGGACGAACCTTTTATTTTCGAGATTTGGGGTTGGAATGCGCGAGGCAGATTCTGGTCCCTCGTCTCCACATTCGATATTCCTGCAGCTGCTGATCCTTGTACAGTGGTGGACCTCTACAACAATGATAAATCGCTTGTTGAGGACTTGGAAGGTGGCATGCTGATTTATGATCATGCTACCAGACAGCACGAGAATCTCGGGCTCCCTAGTGATGGGTATATGGGGTGTTTTCCTTATGTCAAGAGTTGTGTTGGTCCTAGCTCCAGCAATTAATCTGCAAATTTAGTTAGAGCTCATAGGGAGGCCATTGTTATAGGTTTGGTGGCATCTTCTTTTTTGAATGTCTTGTTATGGCTAGTTGTAATTATTTTATTAGGCTTTATATTTGGTCATTTAATGTTTTTTTTTTATTTGATTGGACTTGTGGTTTCTGAAATACTGAATAATATTTGCAAGGCCAACCTGCGAGTTCACGCTCATACCTCATAAAGGAATTGCTTTCAGTGTTTAAATTTAGTCGAAGTTTATGTTGCTATATTGAATGGATTATTAGGTGAATGGTAATCTATTGCTTTTGAATGCAACTTCTATAGGATTTAATGGTGAACTAAACATTTTTTTTAAAACTTTATTTTCACAATATATTAGCATGCTGACCCGTTTATATTATTATAAATAATATTTTAATATATATATTTATTTTTTAATACAAAGTAATAATAATTTTACATATTTTGATTGTAAATTTAATGTTTGGTAGAAATGTGATTATATGTAAGTTGAGATAAAATGAAATGTATTAAAAAAATTTGCTTATGATATTTTCCTTTAAATGTTTGAATGAATTTGAAATTTAAATTAAAAATCAACCTCCAGTTATTCAAATAATTTTAAAAAAATTAACAATTATAGTAAAATGTACGTGACAATATATTATAAATATACATGACGTCAGTAATGTTATGAATCTTTAGGTTCCTAAAATATATCTTGTTTAGATATGAAACTAATTAACTTATATGTTAAGATAATATATATAAATATATGTATTGTACGAAATATACACGTGACAAGTTATTATATATATTTGTTTATATATTGTTTGTATATTTGTTTGTATTGTTTATTATATTTGTATATAAATAATTGTTTATATATTTGTCTGTATTGTACGAAAAATTGTTATATTTGTTTATATATGGTTTAAATATATATTGTTTAGATATGAAACTAATTAACCTATATGTTAAGATAACATATAAAAATATGTATTGTATGTAATCTTAAACGTGTTTGCTAAATTTTTCCCCTAAGAAATTCAAAATACATTTAGGCATGTTTTGTTTGAAGTTTGAAATTTAAATATGCATCTATATAACAAATCCCATGATTTATGCTAGCATTAAATGCTACTTGTTTTTTTATTAAAAAAAATAAAAAAAACATACCAAAAATAGAATGCAATTAGTATTCCCTATTTTTTTGCTTACTATTTTTGAAAAATGTTAATTCTTATTATATATAGAGAGATTTTATCATGTTGTGGCCGTGTGGGACTCCGACCTTTACGATGGATTCATATCAAGTAATTTCTATCTACTTTTAGAGATGTTGCCAAATGAATAAAGTCGGGCAAATATATGGATAAAGTTAGACGCATTTAAAATTGTAATCTTTAGGGTCCAACAAGAAAATCATAAATATTTCGTAATTATAAATTGAAGACGGATCCAGAAAATTTACTAAAGGGGGCCCGATTTTAAATATTAAATAACGATCTTGTAGTTTAAGTCGAAACACTCATTTCATATAAAAATGCATTTACTATAACTATAAATATAGATACGTATACCATCAAGTTTTAAAAAACTTATAATCCGTATCACCTCAAACTTTAGAAAGTAAACAAAGAAAAAAAGAGATTTCATGTATTTATAATTTAAGTTTAAATTATGAAAAAAATAATTTTTTTTGTCGAAAAATTGATTCAAAATTAAACTTTTGCACCACATTGCAGAGCATTTTTTTTTATGACAGCTTATCAAGTGGACTTTTTTTAAGAAAAAAAAAATTTAAAAATATGTGATTAAAAAAAAAAAAAATGTAACAGTTCAACTAAATGCTCAATTTTATAAATTATTAAATCGATTTAAAATTAAAAAAATAAAAGAGTAAATCATTATAAATATTTTGAAAACTTATCAGGAAATATAAAATATAAGAATTTTTAGTAGGTTTTTCAATAAATAAATAGTAATATTAATTTAAATAAAAATAGCACAGGAAATAAGTTTTAATTATTAATGCATTGTAAATATTTTTTACATTTCTATACATATTTGTAGTATTTTCTTTAGATATATTGACTTTTAATAAAGTTTAATTATTAATATATTGTAAAAAAATTTGCATTTCTATACATTTTATATTATTTTTATTTTCTTTGCTTGGGCCGACACACAGGGAAGAGTCCAGTAGTCCTAAATCCTAAAGAAATACATCCCTAGTACTATAAATTTGGCAATCACGTGTTTGCTATGTTGCTGACTCAAGTTTTGTTGATCGACACAGAGAGATTGCGGCGATTCGTTGTTATTCGTTGATGAGAGACATGGGATCCATCTTAAACCGCTTCAATCTATTTGCCAAATACAAAACCAAATCGAGATCCAAATCCTTTCTCTTAAACAACTGCACTCTATCTGCCAAATCCAAAACCAAATTCAAATCGAAATCGAAATCAAAATATTCAGACAGTAGCAAAGCTCTCTCCAACGCCGAATCGAAATTGATGAAATCCGCTAACGCTCAACCCAAGTGCATGTTCCTGGTTTCGCACTCACGCGACAACTTAACCGTTGTTTACTTTGTAATCTCAACCGAAGGCAACTCTATCAGGCTATTACACGACGACGATGATGATCTTCCTCGCAACTTATTGTCTCTACTCAGATTTGATAACTGCAGTATCAATCCTACCTATGACGTTCTTGATTGTTGCGGCTTATTGATTTGGTTGCTATTTCAGCCAAAGGGTTCCCCGCATGAGTATCTTGTGTGGGACATGGAGACAGATTCGTGTAGATACCGTTTTCCATGCCTTTCCCCAGGAAATGATGATGACCTGGCCATATGGGCTTGTGGCATGGGGTTTGATCCTTCATCCGGGCACTATAAGCTGCTCATAGTTTGGGCGGACTACTACTTCATACGAGTCTCTGCTGAGGTGTTGAACCCCGGAACTGGTTCGTGTAAGGCTGTTCATTATCCTTATGCATCTATCTTGAACCCCACTAGATTGGGCTCCAATATATACCCCTCTATTTCACATTAATGGCTTCTTCTATCAAATAACTACGTTTCGGGATGGTTCTGCTGCTATTGTGTCGTTCGACTTTGCTAATGACAGGTTTTGTGATCTTATCCCTCTGCCAAAGGAGGAAGAAGAGTTGGACATCGACGACGAGTTGAGTGTTGATCTAGTCGAGTTTCAGGGGTCGCTGGCGGCTATTTGTTGCGATTCAGAGGACGAACCTATTATTTTCGAGATTTGGGTTTGGAATGCGCGAGGCAGATTCTGGTCCATCGTCTCCATATTCGATATCCCTGCAGCTGCTGGTCCTCTTTTGGTGCGGAACCTCTACAACAATGATAAATTGATTATTGAGGACTTCAAAGGTGACTTGCTGCTTTATGATCGTGCTACCAGACGGCATGAAAATCTCGGGCTCACTTTTGATAGAAGAGGGTCCTTGCAGCTTTTCCCTTATGTCAAGAGTTGTGTTGGTTCTGGTTCCAGCAATTAATCTGCAATTTTAGTTAGAGCTCATAGGGATGGCACATTTATTTATCCATATTGGGTGATTAATATTCAAACCAAGAGATGAGACCACAAACACCATATGGAGCATCTTGGTGAGAAATCATATATTTTTAGCACAAAGGTACGTTTTAGAAGCAATATACCTTTCTGATCATTAAGTAAATAAAAATACAAAACCCGACATTACCATTTCAAAAATAATAATAATAATAATAATAATAATAATAATAATAAAAGGAAAAAAAGGAAAAAACACACACACACAATGACACATGTAACGACATTGTTGTTATTACTTTTTCCGCTATAAATTGACAAGATATGTGGTTCAAGCTCGCCTTTTTTGCTCAAATTTCCCTCAATTTATTTCACTTCTTTCTTAGTTTTTTTAAGACATTGCATCACCTTGTCTATACTCCTTTTCTGCTCATGCTTAACCTTTAAATAACATATTTTCCAAAATGAAGATACATCAAACCATTGAAAAAGAACCGACAATCATCCTTCACTACAAGAAAGCAGATGTATATAAGTAATAGTTAGTCGTAACAAAATAGTTGTACTTAATTCAGTAGAATTCGAGAGACTTACGCTTCGGAGTTTGCATTGGTTGTACCGCCTAAATGGATTTATTTTGGTGTTTGGATGTTAGAAATTGAGCTTCGAAACCATGGAAACACTTCGGCTTCACAGCTTCAAATTGTGTGTTGCTCCCAGTAGAATTTTCTCCGGCATGGTTCCATGTTGAACCCCAAGGCATGTCCTAAATCGGAATATCCTGCACAAAGCCGAACTGATGACCTAATGTGAAGTGTTGAAGCTTGCCACTTAAACATTTTTCAGTTCCATTCTCTCGCCGTCAATTCCAGTCCAATGTTGCGCGGGTTTTTGAAAAGCAATGCGTTGAAAAAATAAATATCCTAATTCTAGTGCAAGAAGGAATTAAGTACTAATAAGGCTTCTTCTTTCTCAATAAGCACGTTGGCTGAGCCGATACGTGGTGACCCAATACGTGGTTGGATGTTTTGATTTTGATGGATTGAAAGTTGACAGCAGCGAACCTGATAAGAATACCTTCGAACGAGGCCTTGCGAATGTGACTATTGATTTGATGTTTATAAATATGACCCTGAGGATGAGGATGTTAAGTACGTAAACTCTTTACATGGCTTGGCGCTTTTTGTCGGCTACCACAACGATGCATTTGCGTTGCCCGCGGCAGAGTTTATGGAGCTCAAACCCAATTCCATTTACTTCACGAATGCACCTACTGGTGGCCATGACATCGCCATTTTCGATTATAAAAACAAGATTGTGTTGCCATGCTATTATCCATGTGATGTCAAGAACATGAGAAAGACTTTCCCAGCGCCTACTTGGTTCTTCCCAAGTCGTGCATGATTTGATCTTATGGTTTCTACTCTCCCGTTTTTGTTTAGTAATTTACTGATTAGTTGTTTTTTTTTTCTTTTTTTGTTTAATTGGTTGAAAGTAATGGAACCCTGTATAAAAAGCTTGAATGTAATCAGTTGATTTGTTTCTTGATAATGTGGATATTGATGATGTGTCCATTGCAAATGGAGCTGGAAGAGTCATTGTTGACAATTCTCCTAGCATAGTGCTAATAATGGACTAGATCAAAATGACTCAATTAAATTTTAGTGCTTCTTCTATTAGTGAAGTTTCTAGAAAAAAAAATATATCAAACGGCGCAATGCATTTTCGGTCGCTACGAAAACAGCCTCCTTATATAATTACAAGGGTAAGGTTTGCGTAAAACTGACCTCCCAGACTCTAACCGGTTGGGTATATACTGGGTATGTTGTTGTTGTTGTTGTGGATATTGATGAGAATAATGTGTTTACAAGATGAAAATAATGTGATATTGATGAGAATCTTCACATCCCATAATTACGTGTGATCATTTTGTGTGATGTGTAAATACTTAGAGCTTCTGAGGTTTGAATAGTTTGTTTGTGTACTGATGAAGTGTAGCCCCGTTTTCTTACAACAGGACTTGTTGTCTAGGTCCTTTTATTAGTTATCTATAAATACTTACTAATACAACACCCGTGTATTTTACGGGTGTACAACACTCGTATATTACACGGGTGTTATCACAATGGGATGAGGGAAATGAGTTGGGTTGGGGAGTATTTATAAGTGTTTTTTGAAATTTTTTTGACATTTTTTTTTTTAATTTATCCAATTTTTTTAACGGTCGGGACCTGTCGGTTGCGTGCCAAAATATGATCACTGACGACCAGTGCGGGTCAAGTCTGACCCGTCTCGCAAAAAAAAAAAATGACCGTTGGATTCATCCGACGACCATCTCAGGTCCCAACGGTAGGCCTGGCCTGGCCCGGCCCGGCCCAACAAAAATAAAAACAAAAATAAAATAGAGTAAATCGGGACCCATTTTTCGGCCCAGACCGGTGGGTTGAGAATACATAAGCTAAAAATTGGAACCGACCTGTCTATGGTAAGGGTCCGGTTCCCAGACACGTAGCTTCGGGTTGGTTTGCGGGTCCCAATCGGCCCTGGTCACCTCTAGTGATAATTGTGCTAATCCTGTTTTGTTATGTCTTCAAAGTCCAAACAAACATATTAAGTAATAAGTACTACAAATTGGCAGTTGTGTGTGTTTGCGCTGTTGTTGAGTCAATTTTTGTCGAGAGAGAGTCAGAGAGAGAGAGAGAGTGGCGATTCGTTCCTTTGGAGACATGGGATCCCTCTTAAACAGCTGCAACCTATCTGCCAAATCCAAAACCAAATTCAAATCCAGATCGAAATCCAAAACCAAATTCAAATCCAAATCGAAATCCAGATATTCAGACAGTAGCAAAACTGTTGCCAACGCCGAACCGAAATTGATGAAATTCGCTAAGGCTCAGCTCAAAGTCAGGTTCCTGGTGAGGCACGAACACTTTTACGACGGAATCCCCGATTACTCTGTAATCTCAACTGAAGACAACTCTTTCAGAGTATTAGACGCGGATGATGATGATCTTCCTTTCAACTTATTGCCTCTATTCAGAGCCATAAACTTCAGTAACTTACCTACCCATGACGTTCTTAGATGTTGCGGCTCATGGATTTGGTTGCAATTTCAGCAATTTCCTTCCCCACCACAGGATCTTCTATGGGATATGGAGACGGATACGTGTAGATCCCTCTGTTTTCCCTCGACTTTCCCGTGTATCAATGGTAGTGTGTGGGCTTGCGGATTTGGGTTTGATCCTTCTTCCCGGCACTATAAGCTGGTCAGATATTGGAAGGACGACATTGAAGATAAGTATGCTGAGGTGTTTTCCCTGGGAACTGGTTCGTGGAAGGCCGTTCATTATCCTTTTGACTTTACAGTGAGGCCTGATACATACTCCTCTATTCACATTAATGGCTTCTACTATTGGATAGCTAGGGCCGGGGCCCGGTTTCATGGCAGTTTCGCTATTATGTCGTTCGACTTTGCTAAAGACAGGTTTCGTGCTCTTATCCCTCTGCCCTACGACGATTTGAGTGTTGTTCTAGTCGAGTTTCAGGGCTCACTTGCGGCTATTTATTTCGATTCCAAGGACAATATTAATCCTTTTATTTTCAAGATTTGGGGTTGGAATGCGCGAGGCAGATTTTGGTCCATCGTCTCCATATTCGATATCCCTGCAGCTGCTGCTCCTCGTGCAGTGTGGAACCTTTACAACAATGATAAATTGTTTCTTGAGGACTCCAAAGGTGACTTGCTGCTTTATGATCATGCTACCAGACGGCTGGAGAATCTCAGGATCCCTATCGATAGAAGAGGGTTTTCGCGGTTTTTCCCTTATTTCAAGAGCTCTATCTATTAATCTGCAGCAAATTTAGTTACAAGAGCTCAAAGGGAGGGATGGCATATTTATTGGTTTGGTGGCATCTTTCTCTGGTTGAGGGTCGTCTTATAGATGAATGCTTGGTGAAAAGAAATTGAAAGACGTCTACTTTTTGTAAATCTGAATAGGTGATTTTCGTAATGTGTCCGCATTCAGTAGGAAAAGAAAATGAGTTTGATTCCAAGGAGAACAAACAACAAAACCTTTTTTGAATATATACATTACATGCCTAGTATTTTACATATATGAGAATTTGAAACATACCACATTACATGTGGGGTAATGAAAATTTTGGTCAGACTCTGCATATGCATATATTTTCTTTTCATAAACTAGTACGTCACCTCTGCGTTGTACGGCCTAATATTAAAAATGGTGTGAATGAATTATAATTTAATAAAAGGTTATTTTAAAAAACATCTAATGAGATAATGTAGAATAAAATGTTTATTAATACATTTAATAGTAAGATGAAGTGTGTTCATTATCACCAACTGTAATAATAATTAGACAACATAAATTCGTGACTCTATAAACAATAACAACATATAATAGTTTGTAACTAAAAAATACAATATATATTTTTCTTAAAATTTTTAAAATTAAAGTCATAAGCTTACAAATATGTGACATGCCATTAAAGAACTATTTGTCACATTAATGACACTCCTTCAATTTTTTTCATACAAATGTCTACGTAATAATATAATTTTCATAAATCCCAAAAAAACAAAGTCATAATTACTATTCTACAAATAAAATAATATATGAATAATTAAAGTTAATATGTATGAAGATGAAAAAAAATAAAATTTTCATATATAGATTAAACTAAAGAAAAAAAAATAAAAACGACTCAATTTCGATCTACACTTATTTAGTTATAAATTGGTCCACAATTTTTTTAATTTTTATTAACAAAATAAATCTCAACATTTCATTGTCTTGCAAAATAAGTGCAATGGTGATTAAAGAATGACGCGAAAGATTGATCATTTTTCGTAAAGTTATAAATAGATCCAGTAATCAATGAGAATTATAATTCAATATAATTTTTTTAAATGCACGTTGACATAATTTTTGTAAAGTAATACGAAAAAGACATTTAAATTATATAATATAAAATCTAAAAGAAAAATAAATTCTATAAAACTAACATTATGGTATATGATAAGAAAAAAGTAGTTGTTGCATTAATAAGTTGTGTTTAATTTTATCTACTGCAATGTTCAGTTGTGATAACATGCTCTCATCACTCTCTTATGAGAAAAAAAATTGTTATATGAACAAATTCAAACGACAATAGACATATTATGCTAGTTTTATTTAGAAAATTTTTTCCGCATAATTGTGTATTTATTAAAATTATTTTTTTTTTTTTTGCATGAAATACATGACAATTGTAATTCAATGTAATATTAAAATACTTATTTTTGCATGAAACCAATGAGAATTGCAATTAAATATATTTTTTAGAAATGCACATTGACGAAATTTTCGTAAAGTAATACGAAAAAGACACTTATATTATATTATATAAAATCTAAAAGGATATTTTTTTTTTAAATTTACATTATGATATATTATAAGGAAAAAGTAGTTCATGCATTATAATAAGTAGTGTTTACCTTTATCTACTGCTATGTTAAGTTGCAATAATATCCTCCTAATCCTAGTGTAAGAACTAAGAAGGTATTAAGTACTACAAATTGACAGTTGCGTGTGTTTGCGCTGTTGTTGAGTCAATTTTTGTCGAGAGAGAGAGAGAGCGCGGCGATTCGTTCTTCTTCGTTAGAGACATGGGATTCCTCTTTAACAGCTTCAATCTATCTGCCAAATCCAAAGCCAAATTCAAATTCAAATCCAAATCGAAATCGAAATCGAAATTGAAATTGAAATCGAAATCCAAATATTCAGACAGTAGCAAAGCTGTTGCCAACGCCGAATCGAAATCGATGAAATCCGCCATGGCTGAGCTCAACGTCAGGTTCCTGTTGAGGCACGCACACAACAACGAAATCCCTGATTACTCTGTAATATCGACCGAAGGCAACTCTTTCAGAGTATTAGACGAGGATGACGATGATAATCTTCCTCGCAACTTATTGCGTCTATTCAGAGGCAAAAACTTCGGTATGTTTCCTATCTATGACGTTATTGGATGTTGCGGCTCATGTATTTGGCTGGTATATTATGAAATTGGTTCCACGCCACTGGATCTTGTGTGGGACATGGAGACGGATTCGCGTATATCCTACTTTTTTCCCTCGGCTTTCCCACGATTCAATGATGACGTGTGGGCTTCCGGCTTCGGGTTTGATCCTTCATCGGGGCACTATAAGCTGGTCAGATGTTGGGAGGACTGCATAGTAGATAAGTACGCTGAGGTGTTTTCCCTCGAAACTTGTTCGTGGAAGGACGTTCACTATCCTTTTGACCTTTCGGTGAGCCCCGATATATACTCCTCTATTCACATTAATGGCTTCTACTATTGGATAGTTAGGGCCGGGTCTGATGGCAGTTTCGCTATTATGTCGTTCGACTTTGCTAAAGACAGGTTTCGTGCTCTTATCCCTCTGCCCAAGAAGGAATACTTCAGGAAGTTTGTGCAAGTTGCTTTAGTCGAGTTTCAGGGCTCTCTTGCGGCTATTTATTTCCATTCCGAGAACAATCCTTTTATTTTCGAGATTTGGGGTTGGAATGCGCGAGGCAGATTTTGGTCCCTTGTCTCCACACTCGATATCCCTTCAGCTGCTGCTCCTCGTGCGGTGCGGAACCTCTACAACAATGATAAATTGTTTCTTGAGGACTCCAAAGGTGACTTGCTGCTTTATGATCTTGCTACGAAACGGCTGCAGAATCTCGGACTCTCTATCGATAGAAGAGGGTCTTCGCATTTTTTCCCTTATGTCAAGAGCACTGTTGGTCACAGCTCTAGCAGTTCATATGCAAAGAAAGAAACAAGGAAAGAAAGTCGTACTCGTTTTGCGGCTTAATGCTTGGTGAAAAGAAAGTGAATGACATCTCCTCTATGTAGATAAATGCCGAAATCTGAAATGGGTGATATTTCGTAATGCGCCCGCATTCAGTAGGAAAGAAGATGAGTCTGATTTGAAGGAGAACAAACAACAAAACCTTTTTTGAATTGGAAAGAATTTGTAATATATTACAAATTTGGTTCTCGGGGCAAATTTGTAATTCATGAAAACATAATTAACATTTTAATACTTTTATATTTTTATTTTGCTGAAAATAAAATTATACTTTTGTATAAAAATAATAATAATAATAAATTTTTTATATAGATTTGACGTTCGGTAAATTTTATTATTTAATTAAAAGAACGAGATCGAACCGAAATACTCGAAATTTTAAAAGTTAATAATCGAGCCGAAATATGTAATTTTGAACCAAAAATTTAGTTCGTTCGATCTTGTTCGATATAGTGCAATCTCATGGACAATAATGTGCAATTCATATAACTTTAATGTGCACTAGCAATATATAAAAAATATAAATAAAAAAATAATAGTGTTTTTCATATAATTCGGTCGGTCTGCTTATTTTGTTTATTTAAAAAATAATAAAACCGACATCGAATTGAAATAACCATGATTTTAAAAGTAAAAACAAATAATCGAACTGAAATATAATATTTCGAATAAATACTTTTAGTTCAATCATTTTCGGTGCAATCAGATGGTCATTAATGTGCAATTAATCGAGCACTATTGTGCACTTACTTTGAAGAAATTTTTAATGATTTGTTCCAAATCGAATTGAAATAATCAGTTTATTCGATCTATTAACTAGATTATCCTAAATAATAAAAATAATTTTTTATTTATTTCATAAAAAATATATTTAGTACTATTAATATATTTGTATATATAATTTTTTTTATATTGTTTAGTCGGTTTGATTATTTTGGTTATTTAAAGAAAAATAAAGTCGACATCGAACTGTAATAATCGATATTTTAAAAATAAAAATAGATAGTCGAGCAGAAGTATAAGATTTCAAATCGTAAATTTTAGTTCAATCGGTTTCGGTCATCAATGTGCAATTTGTATAACAATTTTCTGCAATCATGTAGTCATTATTTTGCAATATGTCTAAGACTATTGTTCATTCGCAATGCATGCATTTTTTAATTGCTTGGCTCAATCAAACTAAAACAGAACCGAAGTAATTGATTTATTCGATCCGTTAACCGAATTAAACTAAATAAACAAAATATATATATATATATATATAATTTATATGACAAAAATATATGTAGCATTTTAATAGTTTTGTTTACTAATTTATATTATATTTGGCTAAAAGTTCATAATATAAAGCCGACATTAAACCAAAATAATCATAATTATAAAAGTAAAAAATAATAATTGAACTGACATATATAAACTACATATATAAACTGTAGAAAAAAAAATTATATATATCTATATATATTATATTTCAATTCATTTCGGTCGGTACATTTGTTACGTTAAAGTGCAATGTCAGAAGCACAAAAGTGCAACATGTCCGTCGTTAAAGTGCAATATGTCTAATACTATATTAATATTTTATAATAATTTTATTTAATATTTAATCATTATTTTAATATATATGTACAAAGAAATATATAAAAAATTATATTATTTTTATAAATTTATTCTAAATTATAGATTTGACCCATGAACTAAATTGAAAATAATCAAACTTCAAGAAATTATGAATAGGTCCTTAAATATTGTCTAATTTTCATAAGAAAACCCCATCCCCAAAATTAAAATGATTTCCGGCAAAACCACAGACCACCATTTCATCTCGTCGCTGGTTAACAGTCAGCTTATTTCATCCCGATCAAGACCCCCGTCGACGATCTAATGTGCATCAATCCATCTGCCACCCTCCTCCAAACATATTCACCCCTCCACCCAAAAACAAATGTTGTTCAACTCACCCCTTGCGAGGCGGCGTCGGATCCGACGAGTCGTCCTGAGTGAAATGGTAACGCGACGGCACGCCGATTTGTGTCGCGCGTGGACAGAGAAGTCGTACCTGCGGTGCCGGCTTGCGACTGCCGGGAGGCAGAAACCCTTCGCTTTCTAGTCGGCGGTTGACGGCGAGGCTGTACCTTTGGAGCATGACGTCATAATCGGCGCTGTTGTGGTCTCCGCTGCCATTTAGTGGCAAACGCCGACGAGTGAGCGGCTCTACGGCTGATGTGTCGTTCTTTTTTCTTTTGCAGTCTGTGTGTCATATTGTGTGAGAGAGTGAGAGAGAGGGTACACGTGGCAGTTGAGATGGAATGGGTTGGTGCGTGTAGTGTTAGTTTCGGTGGGCCCATTGTTAATTTGGTGATTTGGTTTGTTGTAATGACTGATTTACCCTTAATGAGTATGAATATTGGATATTTTTTTAGTCATTGGATTGCCCGATCTAATGGCCACTATATATTCTTATTTCTTTCACTGAGCACATTTCTCACTTGAACCCAACTTTCTATATATATATATACCCACACACACACACACATACATAACACATGTTAAATTTAAATATTTTTAGACATGTTTCCTGTACAAAATAATTTTGAAAAATCTTACATACACAAGTTACATTTAAATATTTACAAGTTTTCTTGCCAGAGTAGTTTATAAAAGTTGTAGGTGACTTCACATCTTTCAAAATTAATATAGAAATTTTGGATACTTTTACATTTATTTTAAAACATACAGAATTTATGTTCTCTTATACAAGATAATTTTACATTGTTTAACCGCACATCTTTAATTTAATATTATTATGTTATATTGTTTACCCTCATCTTTAATTTATAATTATTCTTTTTTTTTTTCATTTTTTAAAGAGGATCAATAGTAGTTCTCACTTCCTCCATTTAGTGACTCAAACTCGAGACCTATTTATAATTATTATTTAACATTGTTTACTGTGCATCGCACGGACTACACATTAGTTAAAAATAAAACTAATCATTGTTATATATTTTTTACATTTATTTTTTGTAAAGGTTGATATTTATGGAAAATGTTTCAAAATTTTTATTATATATGTAAGGGTAAATAATTTTTTGCATCCTGTACTATACGCGTTTTTGGAGATTGCAACCTAAAGTTTTTTTTTTTAAATTTGCAACCTATAATACACGTTTTGTCTGTATCGCAACCTAACGGCCATCGGAGTCCATATTCCACCGAAAAAGCGAGCGTGTGGCTCGCACGCTCAAAACTTGAGGGTAAAATCGGCAATTGAAGTCTGTGTCTGTTCGGTATCCACTTAGTAAATATATGCAATTTAATTTTCACAGTTTAACAAAAATCCCCAATTCAAAACTAAGAAAACTAGGGTTCTTCCTCTGCGATTTTCAATCTCGACATCCAATCTCAAACTTTCCTTCGATTTAAACATAAAAATTGTGAATCAAACTTGATCGCGATCTTGATGGGCTGGAAGGTACGCGACGACAATGACAATATTCCACCTGGAAGACTGTGCCCCGATTACGGTTTGTTTTCGAACCCTAACTTTTTTTTTTTTTTTTTTCTTTTTGTTTTCTCATTTCTCATGTGGAGACAAACTTTTTGAACTTGCCGACAGTCCATGGATTAAAAAATGGAAATGTGAATTTTGTCGGAAATTTGGTCCATGGATATATTAGTTTAATATTTTATTCATTTTTTTTAATCTGATATTGATTTGTGTAATATTCTTGTCCTTCAGGTCCCAGTTCACAATTGTTTACCATTTCATTTCATTATGGTGGGCAATTTCTGGAACTTGGTGACACTTGTTACACTGGTGAGCACATGAGGGTAAGGCACGTTGACTATTGTGACCCTGATGAACTCTCATTGATTGAAATATTCTGTATGGCTTCTGAAATTGGGGTAAAAGATGTTAAGTGTGTGCATTGTAGTAGAAATGGTATAAATGATTGTCGGTCTGTGTTTGTCTTGCAAAATGACATGGATGCTATAAATGTTGTTAATTGGGTTGATAGTAATAGAATGGTCGGTTTATATGTTGAACATATGGAGGGCACAGGGATATGTACTGAACCTTCTGATGATTTGTCTTCTGTTGATTTGCCTTCTGTTGATGAACCCTTGCCTTTTGTGGGGGATGATGGGGATGAATTAGATGATATGATTGACAATTGGGGGGAAAAGAATGTTGGTGATATGGGTGATGATTTGGAAGTCCAATATGATAGTGACTCTGATAGTGATTTTGAAGTACAATCTTTTGGTTCAGACTCTGAGTTTTCTGATGAACTTGTTAAGAGTGATTGTGATCTATATGATGAAGATGATAGGTTGTTTGAGTGTCATGTAGATGCTGATATTGAATGGGGAGGAAATAGAGATGAAACTCATGGCCCTGAATATGTAGGTAGCCAGAGTAAGCAGAAAAAAAAATGGGTCATCCAACTTTTGATCATAAAAAAGATATGAAAAATCCTCAATTTGAATTGGGCATGATATTTCCTGACTTGGCCATGTTTAGAAAGGCAGTTAGGAACTTTGCAATTGCACAGGGTAGGGATGTACAAGACTCACAAGAAGCCAAGCACAGCCTGCTTCTTCACCTACAATGAGGAAAAAGAGTGAGTCTGCAGGGCCTTCAGTTGCAACTTCACCTAAAATGAGAAAGCAGAGTGAGTCTGCAGGGCCTTCAGTTGCAACTTCACCTAAAATGAGAAAACAGAGTAAGTCTGCAGAGCCTTCAGTTGTAACTTCACCTACAAGGGTGACAAGAAGCCAAATTCAATCTGCAGCTACACCTACAAGGTCAACAAGAAGCCAGTCCAAAGTTCTGACACCTACCAAGGATTTGGGGCAAAAAAGCAAGACATTGGGCTTGAGGAGAAAACTTGAGGTAATCTATTCTATTTTTTTTATTGTGTGTTATTTTCATTGTCTGTTTCAACATATTTTAATGATCTTACTATCAATTTAATAGGTGACCAAGAAAGAAAATCCATTGACTCAAGGTGCTAGCTTTACAACAACAAAGGGACCAGTGATGAAGAAGCATGTGATGCAAACTCAGCCTGAGCCAGAGATATTGGGATCATATTGGGTTACAACTAGTGGGGACATAGTGGATCAGTAGGGGTCAGTTCTGAGAGATATTGGAAAACAATTTCATGTGGATGTGGTTGATATGTTTGTAGAGGTCAGTAGTGGATGTTTTGTCACAATTTCATGTGGATGTGGTTGATGTGTTTGTTGAACTCAGATACAATGGTTATGGTTTTTGGATATTATGGTTTGTTTTGGATGTGGTTGTGGTTTTTGGATATTGGAAAAGAATTTCATGTGGATGTGGTTGATATGTTTTCTGTGAATGGTTTGTTTTGTAATTGTGTTGTGATCATTCACAATCATTCATAATGTTTGGCTTTTAGTTGTGTTCAGTGGATACAAGTTAATTTGAATGGGTTGGTTTCACTGCCATTTTATGTGTGTATGATTGTGATTATGTGAAAATGTAATAATATATGGCATTGGCAGTGGGAACCTCTTCTTTTTTGGGAAATTTCAGTTATCCTATATGATTATTAAAATATTGCAAAATTACCATTCATACATAATTAATTGTGTATATACCTAATTGACAATAATTAATTACATTAGTGCCTAAAAGATAAGTTACATATCTCCATTCCTATTTGATAGGAACAAATCACGCAGCAAATCCCTCGCTGTTCAACTCACCACCAATCGTCGTCATCCCTACCTCTGATCTTTCCCGTCGCCGCCGATCTCCAAGATGTGACCACCCAGGCGCGCCGCGACACCATCACCATCATCTCGTCATATTCTCCTCCGCCATCCTCTGAACGACGCGCAGACCAATCGCCGGCGAGCCCCTCCGTCGCGCAGTACCCCCGACCGTCGCCTGCTCGCAAGTCCTCCGCCATGAACTCATCTCTGTTCGCGAGCAGCAAGCCGCGAGTCTCTGCAAATCTGACGCCGCGAGCCTCCCGCCGGCGAGTATCCTCCGCGTGGACCTGCGAATTTCGATCAGAACCAGTCGCGCGCCCTCTGCGACGTCTCCATCTCGCGAAGAATTCCGGCGACCCTTGTTCACGGGTGAATTGCGGCTTCCGGCGAACCCTGTCACGACCAGACGCCGCGACCAGCCTCTTCCTCCGGCGATTAGGACCACCGCGAGTCATCGCCCTCAGCCTCTGCGGCCTGCTTTCCCTCCGCCGTGACAGTCCTTTCCGACCAAGTGTATATCTTGAGTATATTTTATGTATATATGGGTTCTAAAATCGATTTTGAGAAACGATTGAAACTCGAGTGTTATTTAACGTATATTTTATGTATATATGTGTCCCGGTTGGCTTGAATTACTAGAATCTCGAGTGTATATTTTATGTATATGTGTGTTGTATAACTTTGATATATACTGTATACAGCCGTAACATATACCCGAAACATATAAATTTTCATACTCGAAACATATAATGAAAAAATACTGTATATACCCGCTACATATAGTATATGTTAGTATATATTAGTATATGTTGCAATGAAAAACATGTCTTTCGTAAAAAAATTATGTCCTCTAATTCACGCGACTGTCCAGATCGGTATATGTTACGTTTATGTTAGTATATATTCAATATATGTTGCAATGAAAAATATGTCTTTCATGAAAATTTTATGTCTTCTTTTTTTTTGTAAGTTTAACGTTAATTGAAACGTACGTGAATTGATAGTTTTTCATTAATGATATATGTGTTGTTTTCAAACATAAATCAGCATCTTCAAGTAAATCGGCTTCTCCAATTTACTTGTATATATAGTGAGAAATCAAGAAAAAAAAGAAGTCTGGAAAATACTTCAGTATTAAAAAATAAATATCATTGAAATAAACCTTGCATATGTTTGAAATGAACTAAAACTTGCAATAAAAAACATAAATATCATTGAACTAAACATGTGTGCTGTTCAATATACTTGAATTATACTAAAAAATATGCACTGCAATTAAAAAACAAATGGTATGACAAATAGTTGCAGAATTAACTTAAATATCATGCAAATAAACCTTGCATATACTAGAAATCTGTACTACAATATACTGAGCATTGCAATATGCCTTGAATATACCGAAAATATACTACACGTGTAGTGAACAACCACAAAACACAATTTTAGACAAAACTCGACTTGACTGCAAACACAATGGCAGTATGATATATGTACAGTAAATAAACTTAAATATTACTAACATACAGTCCACAGATATAATTGTTAGAATTACATAAAAAATACTCAACACATAATAAACTTATCCCACATATACTTGAATTATACTAACTATATACTTGAATTCAACCGGCGAGTCTTCTTCTTCCAAATCTTCTTCGCTACCGGTTTCTTCGGGTTGGGTTTCATACTCGAAATCAGGGTCTTCCTCGTTCAAATCTTTGTCGGTGTATTTGGGCTTCTCCAATTTACGAGTTCACCGAGACTTTTCCGGTATATTTGGGTCTGACTGGAATTCGGAGATGAAATAGGGTTCTTCATTCTCGACTTGCCGGAAAACTTGCGGCTAGATATAGGGTTCATTCTTGACTTGCCGGAAACTTGAGGGAAGCCAGGCACTAGATCTAATCAGTGGTGAGTCGTCGCCACCGTTGGTCGGATTTTTCCGATGAGGATGAGGGATTTTAGTTTTCGCCATTGACACTTGAATTGGGAGAAAAAAATTGAGCAGTTTGCAGAATGAGGGAGACGTGGGGCGGTGGTGGCTTTTTGGGATAATGAATTTATCTTTTATTTCCTCTTTTTTAGGTAAGTGAATATTTAATCTCACTTAAATATCTAATTACCATTAAGAAAAAAGTTTCTAACGGTTTCATTGTGTTTAGGTATAATTGAAAATATTTTAAGCTTTTTTAGATAATTTTAAAAATAAGACTTTAAGGGGTATAAAAGTGTTATATATTTTAAATGAGTTAGTGTGGGGTGTAATTTCCTCTTCTTTTTTTGTGCAGCTATCCCTAACATACTACAACAAGCAACAATATAGTCATAATAAGAGTTTTATTTACTACAAATGACTGAACCACACATTCATTGAATAACCAACCTAGTTTGATCAATCAAAACAGGACCAGAAGAGTTTGAACAACACAAAGCTACAAACTGAAAAATCTACAACATGCAATACATACATAATCACCTAATGATTGAACCACATTCAGTCAACAACCAAAACCAAAATAGTTCTATCAACCAAAAGAGGACCAAAAGAGTTTGAACAACACAAAGCTAAAGTTTGAACAACAAAAAATCTACAACATGCAATACATGATTAACCAAGAGATCATAATTACAATCCACATCCAACGCTCCCGAACACTCTTCCTCTTCAAGCACAATTCCATTTCAGCCATTTCTTCCTTAATAGCTTCAATACATGCTTCGGCCTCTTTGAAATCTGATTGAAGTATCTTCATATCATTTTCCAACCTCATCACGTCTGCTTCAAGAATTTGAGTTTCGCTTTCAAATTTGTTGGCACGTTTCAAAAGCCCTGGAATGATTTCACGAGCTCTAGGGCACAATGGTGGTTCAATCCACATCCAAAATGAACAACCACCCTCCTCCTACAAAATTCAGTGGAAAAGGGAACTCAAATTTACGAGATCAATTTCAGAAATTAGGGTTCAATAATATTGCCCAATTTCAGAAATTAGGGTTCACTAATTTAACCCTAATTAAGAAATTAAGGGAATTTCAGATAAAAAAGGAACAATCACCATCCTCCTACAAATATAAGTGGAAAAGGGAACTCAATTCTACGAGATCAATTTCATAAATTAGGGTTCAATAATTTTACCCATATTCAAAATTTAGGGTTCATTATTTTTTCCCAAATTCACAAATTATAGTAACTTAAGATAAAAAATGACCAATCACCATCCTCCTACAAGATTCATTGGAAAAGGGAACTAAGTATTACGAGATCAATTTCAGAAATTAGGGTTCACCAAATTTGCCCAAATTCATTAATTAGGTTAACCCTAATTAATCACTTACCCGTGACTTCGAGCAACAAATGTATCTCCTTCCTGGATTATGAGCAGTCCAAGACGTTTTCGTAACAACATTGATGCCACAATTGCAATATTGAGCCATCGTCTCCAAGCTGTCTCCAAGAATGTTCGTGCGTCTTACTCACTCTGTTCACTTCCCGTGATTTTAAAAGGAATTTGTTCAGTGATGGAAAGACAAATATGTCCTGCAAACATCAGAGAAAAAGCCGATTTTACCCTCAAGTTTTGAGCGTGCGAGCCACACGCTCGTTTTTCCGGTGGAATATGTACTCCGATGGCCGTTAGGTTGCGATACAGACAAAACGTGTATTATAGGTTGCAAATTTTTTAAAAAAAAAACTTTAGGTTGCAATCTCCAAAAACGCGTATAGTACAGGATGCAAAAAATTATTTACCCTATATGTAAATTAGTTTACAAAGAACTCAGCTTTGTAGCACACCTAGGGCTGCAAATGAGCCGAGCCGAGTCGAACATTGGCCTTATCGAGCAGGATTGGTTTTTTTTTTTAGCTTCTCCAGATTGAGCTCGAGCTTGACGTTAAAAAAAGTGCAATCGCTCGAGCCGAGCTCGAGCTCGACTCGAAATCAAAATGCTCGAGCTCGGCTCGAAAATTTTTAAGTGGAAAATTAAAATTAGCATTAAGCACATATGCTATACAAAATATGTTAATTTGGATTAAAGTTTGCTAAACAACGATGACGTGGACGATAAGTCTACACCAGTGATATCTTAAAGATATAGAGTACGATGCCAACACAAGGGCATAAATATGCATCGGCTTGGACAAAGACGACACCTTCTAAGCCGATCTTCTCCTTTGCAACGATCTCACGCCATACCATTGGTGCGTCAGACCCACGTCACCATAACACAGAAAGGTTATCTCCTCATATCAACCACAAGAAAACAGAGATTCCTTCATGCCATCCTGATTAGATGCTTGTGTGAAAAGAGTTCACGCCCAAAACCGTTTCGCACTGCCCAAATAGATAAACTACTTTGGAAAGTTGAGAAAGTTGCGAGGAAAAATGATGGAATAAATGGGGTGGTTTTCCCAGGAGGATCTTAGGATGTCAGTAAGGAGTGTGATGGAAGAGATGGGGTGGTTTTGATTTCTTTACATTGTGCAAAATTTTAATGTTTATTTGACATTTATTAATAGTTTATGTTCAATATTTGAACATAAACTAGATTTGATAATATAAACATGTTATAAACGTAATTTTTTTTTTTTAAAAAAGAATTGTTCGTAAATTTACAATAGAAATGTATCTTTTATGTAAAATTGTAATTTAATAAAAAAGTTAGAATTTATGCAAAATATATAAAAAATTGCAGTATATAGTTAAATTAGTCTACAAAGTACCCAGTCTTGTGGCACACCACTTAAATTTATTCTTGAACATGAATTATTTTTTAAAGAAGATAAATATTAGAAACTAACTTATTGTCTGACAGGCATAGGGCCGCACAAATCGGATTGGATCATTCCTATCAATTCATTTGCTTTTATATCCCGTAGCATTTAAAAGGCCATTTTTTCATTTCAGCTTCTAAGTTAAATTAATATGTCGGATAGTTTAATCCACTGCACAGACCAAGAGTCCATCGACTATCCACATTTGAGTCTAAAGCTAAAAGGATCTAACTTTAGGTGCCACAAGCTTATGATTCATTTCTCTTGAATGTTCTTTTATTTTATTGATTTTAGTCGATGTGTTACAAATTTTTATTTGTTGCATTGTGAGAGATTTTAGTTTTTCGAGTACACAAATTATCGACCTTGATATCAATAAATAAAATATTTTTATTTTCAAACAAGAGATTTTGTTATTAAATAGTATTATATCCAAACATATACAAGTTAGAGAAATTGCTCTCGAGCTCCTATAATGGTAAACATAGTGAATCTATACTTATATAATAAGAATTAACATTTATCAAAATTAGTAACTTAATTAATGGTCAAAGTCAGTTTTGCATTTATTACTTTCCAAAATCGGTAACTCTTATGTCCATTTCACACGCTCAGCATTTATGTCCTTTTCATATGCCTTTTAAACTCATTAATTATACCGATCTAATTCTCATGAAATAACCC